TTTAAATCTCTTACTTCTTTAGTTAATTCACTTTCGGTTTTCCTTGAGGTTTGAGAAAACGCAATTCTGAGTCCTCTTCTTTGGGCCTTTAAAGCGATCAAATCCATCTTCTAAGTATATTCAAAATCAAATCCATCTTCTAAAGTATATTCAAAAAATCAAAACCGAAGTTCAATCGGAAAGTTCAATTGGAAACTCCAATCCATAGCACCCGGTCCCACCGAGGGTACCACTATGTTGCGAACAACACAGAAAATATATAAATCAAATATATTCAATCCAGTTCATTCAATTGCGGGCTGCCTCTACCCGAGGCCGGGTGCATTATGAATAAAGACAAAAATTCTTAATAAGCCATTCTTTATTTTCATGAAAACAGTCTTACTCTTCCGAGATCAGCTTTCGTTCTGTCCGCAAGCAAAACATTCGAAACACTCAGAACGCAGGCTGACGTCAAGAACAGCAGCGCCTCGTGCCAGTTATTACTTCAGTCATTTCACAACAACAAAGATACTTCTACTGTTAGTTCATCGATCCAGCTTCTAGTTTAACATTTAATTGCGTAATCTTTGATTACTGTTCAACATTTAATTTAAATTTACTAATGAATAGTTGTTAATGTAATTCAAGAGCGTGCCCTTATATACCAAGTTCTGATTGAATAAATAGGTTCTTACAATCTTCTTTCGACTTTGTCGACCAGTCGGGATTCTCTTTCCACTCGACAGCAGAAGGGAGAACGAGTCTGGCCCCCTTCAAATTCCGTCGGCGGAAAGTGAAGTGGAATTCCGTGCGGAAGTGACGTTTTATTGCATAGCAACCAGTCTATCTCACCTCTACTAGAGCTACTAGAGATACAGGCTGACTCGTCAGCCATTTTGAATCTAAGCTTTAGGGTTGCAATTTAGGTGTGGAGCGGCAACTTTGGCTCTTTAGCGCTGTCCGCTAAAATTTAACATTCTAGAGAATCCGAATTTCAGCTTTTTTCTGCACTCCTATAAAGATGTGTGGCTTTTCCCCTTCTTTTGTCTGCAGTACAGATTCTTTCTCGTATTTTTTTTTTTTAAATTGCCAAATTTCTCGTATGATTCAAGTTATTTTAAAAGTTTCTAAAACATTTTCACATATCATATTTCAAATTTGTATTTTTAGTTAAAAATGCTTTCTTTTTGAATTCCTTTATTGAATTTTCAATTTTTTCTTTTAAATACACGCATAATGTTATTTATCTCAAAATGTATTTTTTGACAAGAGCTTTCCCTCAACCACATTCTTAATATGGTTGAGGGAAATCCCTCAACCTCCATTAATTTAGGATAAGGTTTAATCTTTAATTTTTGTTTTTTATTTTTAATATGTTATTTGAATTTTGCTCACATGGAATCAAACGTCTATTACTGTAGCAAATTTGTTAAAAATGTTATTTTGTGTGTGTTTCCAGAAAAAGCTGCTAAACACTTTATGATTTTAAATACTGATTCAAGATATACACCTTTAAATTATAATGCTTTTAGAATGAAGTGCAGAATGCTATAAAAATTACTTCAATGCTCAGATGACTGTGGGATTCATAGATTTAATAGAGTAAAAAATTCCATTAATTTTTTTTTTTTTTTGTTCTTTATTTAGCTATAAACAATATTAAAATAATACACACACAAATAAATAAAAATAAAAATAATACCTTTACATACAGAATTTACAGATACTATTTACTTATAAGTTTATTTGTTGTTGATGGTTACTTTTTATTATACTTGGAAAAATTATACTTACATACATATGCTCTTAATATTACACGTATCTGAATATTTAAATGATAATTCCATAACATAATAAGATTCAATCTATATCACAGCAAAGACAATACTTAAATCACAGTTCTTTTTATTAATTAATTTGCATAAGTAAAAACATAAAAATATTATTTAGCTTCAAATCTATAAAATAAGTCCTCTAGTAACAAACATATGACAAACACATATAGTGAAAATAAAGATAAATAAATAAAAATGTTTTGCTTTTTGGTCTAATGTAGTGCAATTAGTCTATTATATTCAAATTTTATTAAAACATACTGCAGTAATTGAATTTTTTTCCATTATACATCAAACAGCTTTATATAGAATGATATTATATTAGTTTTACTTTTAAGACTAATATAATATAATTAATTCTCATTTATATGCGGAGATGTTTGAATAAATGCAAAAAACCATCTGAATAAATTTTAGCCAACACTATTCACATAGTATTCTTGTTTTCAAGGTATATCATTTTTATTTTGTTCTTTTTCCATTAAAGGAGCTAACTTAAGACCACAAAGGTTCGATAATATTCAGGTCTGGTGACTGTGGTGGCCAGGGGAGATGGGACAACTCATCCTCGTGCTCAGAAAACCAGTCCTGGACAATGTGAGCTGTGTGAACAGGGGCTTTGTCGTCTTGGAAGACACCATCACCATCGGGGAACAAAGTTTGTACCATGGGATGAACTTGATCGGCCAAAATGTTCACATAAGTCTTGGCAGTCATGTGCCCTGACACAGTTCATTTGGGGCTAGCAGAGAACCACGATATGGCTGCCCAAACCAGATCAGAACCCCCGCCATGTTTCACTCTTGGCAACAAACAGTCTGTATTATAGGCTTGAGATGGCGTTCTCCAGACGTAAACTCGGCTAGAAGTGGGAAACAATGTGAAAGAAGACTTGTCAGACCATATTACTCGCTTCCACTGCTCTATAGTCCAGGCTTTATGACTTAAACACCACCTTTTCCTGTTGCGGGCATTAGCATCACTGATGAGTGGCTTCTCAATTGCAGCACGGCCAGCAATTCCCTGTTTATGAAGCTCCCTTCTAATTGTTTTGGTACTCACAGGGTTCGGTAACACATATTTCATTCATTTCATTTCAGCAGTAACTTTTGCAGCTGTGGTCTTCTTATTTTTCGTCACAATTGCCCTTAATGATCGTCTGTCACGATCACTCAGGACACACTTTCGTCCGCGCTGTGATTTAGCAGATGATGTTTTTCCGCTTTTCAAATATGCGGAATAAATCTTCGATACAGTACCTCTTGAAACACTAAACACCTCGGCTACCTTGCTTACGGAAGCATCTACCATACGTGCTCCAACAATTTGCCCACGTTCGAAGTCTGTTAACTCTGACATAATGCAATGACAACCTCACATAACAGTACTCCGACAACAACTGAACTGTTTAGCACATTTACGAAGTTGTATAGGTGGCGTCAGTAGTAAAAAACGCCAGCGCCACCGTACATTTCATTAAAATCAATCTTTCTTTTCAAACATGCATTTCACAAGGTGTTTCCATATTTTTGTCCATCCACTGTATCTCATTGATATATTATAAATATAGCTTAAACATGTTTTATGTGCATACCCAAAGGGGGTGGGAAGTAAGCCTTGATTCAAAATCTGTTTTAAAGCAATAAGTAAATAAATAAAATACACTGGTTCTATTAGAATGTCAAAAAATACTGTTATGTATTCTATAAACAAATCCAAATTATCACATCATACTATATAACCCTGGTACAAAAGAAGAAATGTCTGATTAGGAACATACTCTATTTATTTGGTAAAAAAGAAGAGTAAAACATATGCAACATCCCATTATGAAAAATCCTGCAAGCCATTACAATACTATAAGACATTGATTAGTAAGGTAAACATCAGTTGATCATTCTTTCACAACAGCAATAAATGTTTCATTTAAAATTCCTAATAACATGCCAAAACAGATTCACAATTGATGCCTCATTTAAGGTCACACAAAAGTAAATCCGATTTAGCTGACTATGAGATCTTCTATTGTAGAGGACTTTCTAAGGAGAACTGGCTTGTATTCACATTACACATGGGGAAAAACCACAAAAAAAACCAACCATGCAGCCAGCCTGTTCGGAAATAGAACAGAAGATGGAACTCCCAGCATTCAGTAACTTTAACCATTCAGCTGTTGGTGGGCCTAATTATTATTCGAAGAGACAAACAGCAATTTTTCAGTGACAACTACTCTACTTTTTTACAGACAGAACTGAACAGCAAAAACTTCTTAAACTCTTGATTAGATTCTAGTTTACTTTCTTCCTTTTAAAAGCAGGAGATGCAAAACTTTGCCGCTGCTGCCTTTTTATTTTGAAGAAGCTTCTTGAGACCAATTCGACGGGCAGTCAAATAATGTTTTATTATTATTTGTTGTACGTTTTGATATTGCAACCAGGAGGGAATATTTACCTCGCCTGCTTTCTTACAAATCATATTAACAAATTCCACATCCATAGTTACATTTCCATGTATTATTTCGTCTCGAAAATTTTGAATTATTTTTTCACACAGAAGGCACAATTTAAAAATTTCTGGAGAAGGACATTTAAGCCCACCTAAATTTGCAAAATTAATTATGTACTGCTTATTTTCATCAATGGAAGGAGTATTTTGCTCACAAACTAAGAGAAACTGTGAGCATGAATTACAAGCATTTTTCAAAACAGAATTTATTGCAGCTCCTGCAATATAACAGACGTTATTTTCCTCACTAAGGGTGAGATTCTGTAGAGATACATCAGAAACTTCTGGTATGGTAACAGGCTCTAAAGCTTTTTTCTCCTTCAGAAATTCAAATTCATCTTTTGCATAGTGTAATAAGTAAATATCTGAATCAGTAGCATAACTGGAGTTTTTAATGTCAGATATAAACTGAGATAAACAGATAAGCTTTAATGCTTTCTCAGCTTGCAAAGCACTTGGCCTCAAACCAGCTTTTTCTGCGTATCTGAGAAAATACATTTTCTAGAGCATCTTGTGTCAATCTGCTCGTCAAAATAAACTGAAAATCATTCAGAAAACATGCCTCTGCTAACTGTATGGCTGATAAAGTAGAAAGAATCAAACCAGTATGTAATGGTTTCCACCCTTTACCAATTTCTATAAGCTGTATAACATTAATAAATTCAAAAAGTAACTCAATTTTTTTGCTTTTATTTGTCACAGAAATTGAGTTCTTTCTACATCTAGAGGATAGCATTTGAAACCACTGACATATAAATCTTATCCACCATGCTGTTGTAAGAGCATTAGGGCTTATCTCTTTTAAAGCTACTGCCTTCTCCAATTCCACAGCTGTTTTAATTGAAAAAAACCTCACAGCAGAAGCAACATTCATTTTATCAAAATGTGAGGGGAAGAGGTCTTCTTTGCTGAGATGATGCATAGTTCTCAAACCACAATTTTGGTTTGTTTCAGTAATCCAGATATCTTTTATAAATCCTGCAGATACATGCAAAGTAACCAAATTTTCTTTATTGCAAACATAACTGGGCAGTTTTATACTATGATTAAGAGTTGCAGACCAGAGATTTTTTAAAAGATGTGGCACATCTGCAAATACATAAATAATTTTGCCCTTAATTTCAGTAGTGAAATTATTTCTTTGGTTTCGAGAAACAGATATTCCCAAAGAATTCCACAGGCTTCTATTTACTGCTGCCATATCGCTAACAATACCAACAACATTAAATCCAACAGAATTGACAGCTTCGATAACATTGACAACAAGTTGTTTGAGCTGGCATCCTGTTACCTGTCCAGTTATCTCATGGGCAACCACTTGCTTCCATTTCAGCTTCAAACCTCTTAGTAAAATAACTAAATAGTGATTTCCTGCACCCTTTTGATTTCCTAATGTACATTTACCAATAAATTTACGTTTTGAAATATCAAAATCAGGATTGCCAGAAATCTCCATTTCATCCAATGATAAAATACAGTCTTTATCACTAGCATTCATTTTTTCTCCTTTAATTTTCAAAAGTTCAATCATGTCACTGATGACTCCAAAATTCATTTCAAGACCTTGAAGTCTTTTATTTAAAGTGCTGTATGAAGGCACAGGAAAACCTATTCTGTGCAAGTAATTATAACCATGCTTGCCCAAGGCAAATCTAACTTTGAGGCCTTTTATTATTTACTCCCTCGTTAGACCATTTTGCAATGCTTCTACGAGGAATTTTCAACATTGCTATTTGTTCATCTGAAAGAAATGTTTTCACTCCTTTCAGCAATTCCTCATGCTGTACTTGAAGGTCATGAAGTTGAATTTCAGTGCTATGCCATTTTTTTAAAACATTAATTTCATTTTTTTTTGGTTGCTGTAAGTTCTTTCAGTAATATTTTGTTCTGGCATTGCAGAAGCGAGATCAATTCAGTCTGCTGTTTTATAAAATTCCTTAAAAGAACATCCTGGAATAAAGAAAAAATCTATATGAATAATCATCAAAGAAGGGGGGAACACAACAAACAAACAAAAAAAAGATCTGAAAGGTTTCAGATTTTAAATTACACCCAAAGGGGCTTTTTTTAACATTTTGTGTTTTACCTTTATTTATTAAATATCAAGTTTTTCACACTTAAACTATAAAATTCAGTTCAACAGCAATATTGCAAGATAATTTTAAAATGAACATATCTTCAGAATTCCCGATTCATTGTCTCACACGCTGGAGATAAAAGTGTCTTTTCTGTACAACATTGCCATTGCTCGCTTTGAAATCCTCAAGTTTGTTAATCAAAAATTCGTTAAAGTTTTACAACATATAAAATATATATTAAAACAAATTCCAAATTCGGTCTTCCAGATGTCCATATTCACAGTAGAATTAAGTCATTCAAAATTTGATGGCTCTAGGTACCGTTGTTTTATCAGAATGCAAAAAACATACATGCATTTATGCAGATTCTTCACTATATAATTTCTTTAAATATAGTACAGGGTGATAATATTTGGTGGCAACAATTTGAAAAGTGATGCAGCCGTTTATAGTGTTTCAATACAAAACGAAAACAATAGTCCTTCAGGGACAAAGCCCCTTTGGATTAAATGCCAAACTTAAACAGATAATAAATCCACAAAATAAAAATGCAACTTCCAGGTCTCTTTTCCTATACTGTGGTGGGTTTTTAAATTTGACTCTATTGTTTTCAGCATTTTCTAGATTATTTTTTTTTATTTTCTAATATTTAAAATTTATTTCACTTAAAAATAGATTTTTAAAATTTATTTCCAGCTTTTCAGGGGATCGATTATCTCCATAATCATGAGCAATTTAATAACACAAATTATCAACTTATATCACAGCCTTCACAAATGCTGATGAAATTAATTAAAATTAATTACAATTTGGCTGCAAGATGAATCTAAAGGTTGTTTTTGCAAACAAAACTGAAATTTACATAGAGAATTTGCAACTATTAATGAAATTAATTACATTCCTTTTACCAAAAAATTACTTTATAGAACATTTTAAATGTACGAGGGCTATCCAGAAAGTAGATTACGTTTTGGAATAAAAAAATAAACAAAGTATAGGAAACAAATTTTATTATATACAGATGAAAGCCACACTCAAATACTACTTTTCTACATAGTCACCATACAAATTAAGGCATTTATCGTAGCGATGTACGAGCTTGGAAATTCCTTCGTCGAAAAATTCGGCCGCCTGCGCCTTCAACCACTTCGTTACCTCTTCTTGCAGCTGTGCGTCGTCATCAAAACGCTGCATAGCCAGCCACTTCTTCATTGCTGGGAATAGGTGGAAGTCGCTCGGTGCCAGGTCGGGACTGTACGGCGGATGAGGAAACAACTCCCACTTAAAAGATTCAAGAACTTTACGAGTGACATTTGCCGTGTGGGGCCGGGCGTTGTCGTGAATCAACAAGATCTTAGAGCTCAACATTCCTCTGCGCTTGTTTTGAATTGCTCTTCTGAGTTTTTGGAGAGTTTGGCAATACCTTTGAGAGTTTATTGTAGTGCCTCTTTCCAGGAAGTTCACCAAAATTACACCTTTTCTGTCCCAAAAAACAGTCGCCATCATCTTCCTTGCCGACATTGTTTGCATGCATTTCTTGGGTTTTTGGGGAGAACTTGTGTGCCCCCACTGCATTGATTGCAATTTCGTTTCACAGTTCACATGTTTCACCCATGTTTCGTCACCAGTAACGATGCGATCGAGTAAAGAGTCACCATCCTTATGGTAAGCGTCCAAAAGTTCAACGCTGCAGCCATTCGCTGATTTTTGTGGTCCTCTGTCAAGATTTTTGGAATCCATCTTGCACAAAACTTGTGGTAACCAAGCTTTTCGCTGATGATTTCGTGCAACAAACTTCGCGAAATTTGTGGAAAACTCAAAGAAAGTTCCGTTATTGTGAAATTTCGATTTTCACGGACTTTAGCATCGACTTTTTCGAGAAGTTCGGCGGTCACTATGCTGGGTCTCCCACTTCGATCTTCATCGTGAACATTGGTTCGGCCATTTTGAAATCTTATGACCCACTGACGCACTCCACCTTCAGTGATAATGTTGTCCCCATACACTTCACAAAGCTGCCGATAGATTTCTATCGGTTTACAGTTTTTTGCAGTCAGAAACTTTATTACTGAGCGCACCTCGCAGCTCGCGGGATTTTCAATTAACGCAGACATTTCAAACCGTCACAGTATCTGAACGGAGCACAGCACGAACCTCTCACTAGCACGGCTAGATGCAGACTGAGCTGCGCAACGCTCTGACCCCAAGATGGCCCCGCTAGCCCCGCCCCTAGCGGACACAGACGGAAACGTAATCTACTTCCTGGATGGCCCTCGTATATAAGGAAGCAATTTAATTATACATTAGTTATCAACTTACATCAGAGCCTTCACAAATAGATGGTATTTCATTGCAAAATGAGGCTAAAGGCTGTTCTTGCAAACAAACCTGAAATGTACACAAAGAATTTGTAAATGCTGATGAAATTAATTACATTCCTTTTACCCCCCCCAAAAAAAGTTAATAGAAACGTTTTGTATAAGCAAGCAATTTAATAATACACTAATTATCTACTTACATGAGCTTCTTCACAAATAGATGGCATTTTATCACAAGATGAAGTTGAAGCTTGTTCTTGCAAACAAACCTGAAATATATATATAAGAAATTTAGAAATACAGATAATATAAACTACATTCATTTTAAGAAATAATTATTTTACATAACATTTTATAATTCAGAAATAGATAATAAATTGTTAACGCTCAAAATTCAAAAATAATTCCATAGCACAACAGCCAGATATAGTACAGCTGTTTAGCAACCATAAGACAAACAATTTCATATTTCAGAAATCGTATAAAAATTCATTAATATATGTAAAACATATGACATTTAATAGCTGCTCAAATGAAAACATAGAATAGATTCTTTACTAGCAGCTGTTATTTAATCAGAAGGTAATGCTAAATGTTGTTGCAAACACACCTGAGATGTACTGCAATGTACACATTTGCAACCACTGGTGAAATGAAATAAAGTGCATGATTATGAAGATGGAAACATTTAAAAAAACATAGTACAGTTTACGAATAGATGTTAAAAAACTATTAAAATTTTTTAGAAGTGCAAAATGGCAATTTACATCAGATACTTCGGCAGCAAAATTTATTTCTCCAAAATATGAAGCTGAAGGTTGTGGCAAATGAACCTAAAAGAAATTATAATATATGAAATATGTGGAAGTGAAAGAAATTATAAACTCTGATCGGATAAAAATAAATACAAATAATCATTACCATTTTAAAAGTAACTCGACTTATAAAAAAGCATAAATACATTGGACTGTTCATAGCATTCATACTTCTTAAACATAAGTAAATATTACGTTAATATATTTTTAAATTTTAGAAACAGTGTTAATACTTTTTAGAAAAAGTTTATAATACTAAATATTTAATAACTGTTCAAATGAAAACTTACAACAGATGGTTCAGCAAGAGAAATCGCTTCAGTTGATAAAGGTAAACTGTGCAGCAAGCCACCCTGAAGATGCAAAAATTATGAAACACATATAAGTAAGGATTCCTGAAAATGCTGATAAATAAAATATACTTAATGTAATTTTAATAATAAATAATATAAATAATCCTAATAAGTTTTGTAAATCTTTAAACAAAAAATAACAACATTCAGACAAGACATATAAGACATTAAAATATACATTTAAAACAATGTATTATAACTATATTATTGTATTACTCAAGATTAAAGTTATTAATTTCAATATTATTTCTTTTACTTACTCCGTACATATTTCTCTCTATTTATCTGGAATTTAAAATTAAGCAAAAAAGCAACTTTAGTTTAATACAAATTTTGATTTAAACTCTTTTGACTTTGAAGGCAATCAGATACCGGTTTCTTTCTTTTAGGAGCAAATCTGAAGAAACCAGACCCATGTATGACCGTCCTCGAAAAACTACAAAAACTTTATCCAAAAACTACATCAAATTGAGGTTTTATGCTTAATTTTCAATATATGATTATAATAACAAAGTACATACTTAATTATATATATAACAACAGCAAAATTTTAATTTTTTTAATCTAATCTTAGGGACTGTAATTACAGCTTTATCACATAATGCCTTAATTTCAATATTTTGATTCTTTTATAAAGCAATTTAGTCCATTTGTAATAAAAACATATTTTTTTATGAAAAACCATAAAAATAAAAAACACATACATTACAAAAATTGGATGTAACTGAACGGTGCTTTGGTAAACCAATGCCTTTTAGACGCTGTGGGGTCAACAGTTGTGGGGGATTAGGCACATTGAAAAGAGTTGGCACAGCATTGGGCTTGAGTTTTTTACGCCCATCTTGCCTAGAGCATTCAAATTGATTTTCTTCAAAATGTACCTGCATATTTAACAAAAGCATGCATGAAATTTAACATTAAAATCAAAAGCACTAGTATTTAATTACAGTTACATATATTATATTAATTTAAGAATGTAATTTTCTGATAAATTAAAATTTTTTTTATGAAAATAGAACAAAATTTTTAAAAAGTAATCATGTTTGTAAAACTACTTAAAACATATTTCCTGCTCACACACTAAAAATAAATTTAAAGTACCTATAGTTAAAAATACAACATTAAGATTTACTACTACAATAAAGGATAATAATGGGATCAAAACGATTCATCGAATATTTAAATTAATATTTAACTTCTTAAAAATGTCTAAAAATACAGAATATATTTATCTTACTATAAAGAAAAAACAAAATCATTTATTATTTGGATCATACCATCCAGTTTTTAACATTGGCGCCAACTATCCGATTTGGCGACAATACATCAGAATCAAAACATAGAATGCTACTTTAAATCACCAATCGTACAGTAAAATTAAAGAAAAGAAAAAGGCACATCACATTTCTAACTGAGCACAAAGTTTACATGAAATGTATGATACAAATTTTACAAACGGTATAAACTTTTCACGATAACAAAAGAAACAACATGAAACAACGTTATTTTACTGCACAAACACATACACATTCCGCAGTTGATTTTGTACTTATAAAATCAGTTGATCGTCAATAAGTGACAGTTAAATGAAAATAAATATTTTAAAGTACCAAGAAGAGTAATTTTTTCTAACATTCTATGGAAAAATACGAAGCTGAACTTACCTCACAAAGACACGCTCCTGGGCCCGGGATCCATTGATCTCGACGAGAATTAACTATCCATTTTCTTCGTCTTTCTTCATTTCTAGGGAAACGAAACATCCTAAAGTTATTTTTAGATTGATTCGAACAATTTGGTGCAGCACAACCACCCATTTTTCTGAAAATTAGGTCGGAATCGATCCACAAATATGTCAAGAAATCAGTGCTAATCCAATAGCGAATACCAACAAGTTAGATTCAAAATGGATGATGATTCAGCTCCCCTTTATAGTACTCCAGGCTCAGGGGAAGGGGGTAGTTTGTTGTCAAAGGGGCTGTTTCGCACGTGCTTATTACTGATGATGACGGTAGAAAAAAAAATCGAGTAAATGGTGAAATTTTTCGAAAAAATACGCTGCTGGATTTAGTAAAGAGTATGGAAAAAAGAAATGGGGAGCGTTAATGGATATTTTAAACGCAGAAAGAAATGGCCTTTTCAAAACTTCAGGTATGTGAAGAAACGTAAACATAATTTTACGTATGATCTTTTGCAAAATGGAAATTTTCTAAAAGGTTACATGTTTGTAAACTATTTGTTAACAGGAATTTTATGATTAAAATACATTATTTTGTCTGAAAAGGTTATGCAACAACGTCATAAGTCAAATCATTGAAATATAGCACCGGATACGCGTGTCTAATATTCTTAAAGAATTTGAATAAAAAAAATTTAATTTTTAGCAACGCATGATTATATCAATAATTTTATTTATTCAGGAATTATACCTATCACGTAGCTACAAATATACTATGTATCGTAGATACCAATAAGGAGTGAGTAAAAATATAACAAACTTTTAACAAAAGTAATAGGAAGAAAAATAAAAAAATTAAATAACTATAGGTTAAATCATAAAACATATTATCTTGCACACACACACACACATATATACACACACACACATATATATATATATATATATATATATATATATATTTTAACATATGCAGTGAAAGAAAATTCCAATACATATTCCATTTTATACCGTTTTTAAACCGATCCCACCAGTGACCGTGTGGTAAAATCGCTGAACTCTAGTAGTTCGGTCCGAGGTCCAAATACTGCGAACGGGTTTGTTCCATTACCAACATATCTCTGATAACCAATATATCTGTCATTACCAACATATTTCTCGTAATTTCCAAAAGCATAAAAAATTAAGGCATACAAAACCTATTTTAAATAAATAACTATATGTATATATAAATGTATTATAAATATATTAATATATGCAGTGAAAGGAAATTGCAGTACATATTCCTATTTATGCCCTTTTTAAGTCGATCCCACTAGTGGCCGTGCGGTAAAATCTCCGAACACTGGTAGTGCGGTCCGAGGTTCGAATCCCGCGAACGGGCTGGACGCATGGGCGTCAATGTATCTGTCATTACCAATATATCATTGGTAATGACAGATATTATCATTGGTAACTTCCAGAAGCATAGAAGTTTAAGGCACAGAAAATCTGTTTTAAATGTATATATATAAAACTGTATAAATTACCAAGAATTTATACAGTTTTATAGTTTCAAAACGCTATAAAAAAAGAACCACTGATGAAAATGATGTGAAATTTGAAAGGAATGTTATTGAAGAAGGCGGAAAGCGTATGGCAGAAGAAAAAATTTAGTTTCAAAAGTTAGCAACAGATGGCGCTGTAAGCAGCAGAATCACGACGAGAAACGATTCGTAAAACAACGGCTAAGGTGGATGTTACACATTAAAACGCATTGACAAGTTAGACTTGTTGAATAATTTTATTTGCATGACTGTACATATCACATCGAAAGGGACAAATCGGTTTCAAGAGTTTTGCGGCGACATACCGCATAAGAACCATTCATCAAAGAAGTTCGTAACTGTCGCGAGACTGGCGCAAAACATGTTCAATATGGTGTCCACCGTAGTGTGCAACAAGTTGAAAGCGACAAACAGCATGTTCCACAACTGATCGCAATGTCTCCGGAGTGATGTTCAGAATGTGTTGCGAAATGCGTGCCTTTAATTCCGCTAAATTTGCAATTGGAGCACGGAACACAACATCCTTCAGATATCCTCACAGCCAGAAATCACACGGAGTAAGATCAGGCGATCGGAACGGCCAGCTTATAGGGAAATGACGGCTGATAATTCGAGCATTTCCGAAATGGAGCCTCAGCAGCTGCTTCACGGGATGTGCAATGTGCGGAGGAGCGCCATCTTGCATAAAAATGATTTCATCCACACATCCACGTAGTTGCGCAAAAGAGACGCATACCTCTGACCAGTGACGGTTGCGGTAACAGGACCGGAAGCACCCGTCTGCTCGAAAAAATATGGTTGTAGGATGAATGATGCCGTAAAGCCACACCATACCGTGACCTTTTCAGGATGAAGTGGTACGGGGTGCGTTGCCAATGGATTTTCTGTTGCCCATATTTGACAATTCTGGGTGTTCACGTATCCTGTCAGATGGAAATGGGCTTCATCTGTCCACAAAATTTTCCACGGCCATTCATTATCCACTTCCATGCGTGCCAGGAATTCTAACGCAAACGTCTCCCTAGCTCTCAGGTCAGACGGAAGCAACTCCTGCACATGGCCAATTTTGTACGGATAGCATTGCAGAATGTTTCGTACAATTTTCAGCACCGTGCTCGTAGTCCTGTCCAATGTTCGGGCAATTCCTCGTGCACTGCACGGTTGCACACCACCGGCCGACCCCTCCTGTAATGCTGTGGCCACTTCTTCAACTACCGTCGAATGCACTCGTTTTCTCCCTCTACCAGATTGCACATCAAACGAACCTGTCGTTTCGAATTTTTGCATCATTTTCTTTAGACCTACGACACTCATTGGACCAACGCCTTCTTTTATACCCTTCAGTGTCCTGAATTTTTGCAGAGCTACTCTTGCACAATCATCATTCTTGTAATACAGCTTTACCAGCAGAGCGCGGTCCTGCAGTGAAACACCCATGGCGAACGTCTAAGACGCGAAATGAGGAACAGCCGATCCGAACAAGTATGGCTGGAGTAGCGCGCGAAGCGCGCTGTTTCCAGCTCATAAGGAGAGCCCAGTAGGCACATGACGGTAGGAAGTCTGACGTGGTAGGAGTTAAGAGAATGAGGTGAAGAGGAACAGCTTGGTACCTGGCGGCTTTATAACACTGAAATTTAACTGACATTTTAATTTACGTCTTCTTCCGCTTGCAGCGCCATCTGTTGCTAACTTTTGAAACTAATTTTTTTCTTCTGCCATACGCTTTCCGCCTTCTTCAATAACATTCCTTTCAAATTTGACGTCATTTTCATGAGTGGTTCTTTTTTTATAGCGTTTTGAAACTTAAACTTTAATTATAATCACCCTGTATATATTTAAAACAGAGTTTCTGTTTAAAACAGATGCAGTGAAAGAAATTGCAGTACATATATATTTATACCCTTTTTAAATCGATCTCACCAACGGCCGGTAAAATCGCTGAACACTAGAAGTTCGGTTCAAGATTGGAATCCCGCGAACAGGCTGGTTGCATGGACGTTTTCGTGGTTTTCCCATGTGTTACGTGTATACGAGCTAGTTTCCCTTAGAATGTCCTCCACGAAGGCAACCCTCACTTTAGGCAGATAACCCTCGAGGTTTTGCCGTAATTACATAAAACCAAAACTAAGCACTTTTTTAATCTGAATAAATGTACACAAAACTGATGTAATATCTAAAAGTAGACCACATTAAAAAATCTGATAACTAATTATAAATCTTGCATTATAATATTGACAAGAATTTAACCGAAAATTGTACAGGAATTTAACTTGTTTTATACAGGAGATTCTAGAAACTATTGGAAATTGACATGATATCGGTACAGTTAAAACTACTTAAATAAATTTTTTAACTCAAAGCAATTTAATGTAAATGTTGAATTTAGAATGTGCATAGTTTGAATTATATACTGCATATTCTTTAATGCATGTCTAATGTATTACATTTTTATATACTACAAATCCAAATAAAAGTAGAGGAAAATACATTATAATTTAAAACATAAAATTTCAAAATTTATAAATTACTCATCAAAACATGAAATTAAGTACATTGATATATACATTAGTTTAAAAATTACAATTTTAAATTAAAAGTATGCACCTCTTCTTTATATGTGAAATAGGAAAATACCAAATATATTATTTTCACTAATATTTAATTAAGACATTAGTAATGTAGAATAAATAAATAATGTAGAATCGTCTATTTCTATGGCGAAATACTCGAGTTTTTCACAAATATTAAGAAATTAAAATATCTATTATGTACACTTTCAAAAACAATCCGTGACCTCCGCCGTCCTCAGTTTAACTCTAAAACGACAGTCAGAAACTCAAACGGAAGCTGTCCAGCTGACGGAAAAATTTCCGACGCGTCGATCTCTGTAATGATCGAGACGATGACACCAGACTCGCTCTCTGTCGAGTTGATCGCAAAAAGCGACCCGTTCTTCTATCTCGACGGTGTCCAGACTAGGGCCTTTAGACATAGCAATAACTCCAGTCACATCTGTTAGGGCTATAGGACTATAATAGCGTTATCAGGTCAAGTATAACCCTATAGATATATATTTCTTGTCTCTCCAAAATTTCTTTCGCTTCGCTTTAACAGAAAAACTCTTGCAGGTTTTTTTTTAAGCGGAAGCATACATAGAAGCATGTACTGAAAGCATCTGAGACTGATAAACATGGAAAGTTTCCTAACGAATAAGAACTTGGGTTTGATTAACTCATAAGAATTGCTCTTCAGATGTCGATGACGATCACCATCTACGGCATTCAAGAAATAAGTGATCTAGTGTTGCAGTGAAATCTGTTGTTTTCCCAGAAGATATAACCTTCTGGGAAAATACGTTACCTGCCGTAGGTTATGATTTCCTTGAAATATAAATTAATTAGTTGACAACTGAAATTTTTAGCCTTGGCATCACATAGTATTTTTGGAAAATATGTAAGGCAATTTAAAAATAACAGCTCTCCACAGGAAGTACATAGACTAAATAAAATAATGCAATAGCCTTAGTACTTTATGGCTACCTTTCGCAGTAAAACGGGCTGCTTTCGAGTTGCTGCACAATTCACTCAGCGTACCATTTATGATATAGCGTCGGAACTTTCTTTTATATTTAAAGAATATCCTTTCCTAAAACTGATTTCAGATTTTCCTGAGACAGTTTTTATTGTACACAGTTTTGAAACCTATTCAGCAAATAATTAGAGCAGACAAAACATAAATATGGCAGTTAAAAAACGAATATTTCCACGAAATGGGTTTCTTCCGAAGTCCATCAGACCGGTAATAATGCTGGTAAATGAATATCTGGACTCCAGTGTCTTTCTATAAAATTTCTATTGTAAAATAATTGTATAATTAATTCGATGGAATCCTAGTTGTAGTCTATTTTTTTGCGTATGGTGCAAATACGAATCGACTAACTTAATAACTCCCTCTTTAAAGGTGCTCATTATCTTAGGCATATTTACCGAAAGAATAGACATAACTATAATGAAGAAAAAATGTACTATAAGGTCTTCAGTTATTTAGTAGAATATTACTTCAAAAATAAAAAGAGTGTAACGTTCCGTTATGTAAAATACCAGTTGTGATTTTGATCTTTACGGTCATTTCGTCTTTTTGTTTCCACTCCATTCCACTCCATAATGCAAATTAGCTCGGATGTATGTAAACTGACATTTCTAGATTGTCAAACAGAGAGTGTTCTGCCTCTTGAGTCCATGTTACTAAGTTCCTGCTAGTTCAGATAAGAATTGAAGTATTCGATCTTTCATTATACTTACTTATGTTTGAGTATCTACCCAGGTTAAGTTTTAAGCCAACTTCGCGTCAAACTGATTTGTTAGCTTGACTACTAGCTTATTTTAAATTTGGAACTTACTGTTATTTACTGAACTTACTGTTGAATAAATTAAAATAATAATACAGTCATTTCTAATGATAAAAGAAATGTTAGTTAAATATAACTTTTTATAATGCAAAGGCTGAATAAGATGCAAATGCAAATCATCATGAATGTACTAGAAACTAATTTTGAAAATACTCTTTTCATAAAGAGTTCTGGGGGAAAGAAATACTTGTATGGAGTTAATGCTCATAGCAATACTATCGTTCACGTCCCATTATCAATCGCGAGAAATTTAATAGTTTCATCTTATTTCGAAATTTAGTTTAAAAAATAGATCCACCTTCATTGCTGCATTATGATATATTGTAGCTGTATTAGCTACAATTATTATGATGCATAAGGCAGTAAATTACAAGTTTTAGAAGAAAAAACTGGATAAATTTGTTAAATGACAACAAAATAGTCAGTGCTGGACCTCCGTTCCTTCTACGGCCCTTTGCTTATATTCACCCCCGAAAGTATTATAATATCTGACCTCGGAATGGCATCATAAAGTCAGAGCGAATCACATATGAGTTTCTTGTGTGGATCCTCTCACCGCTGTTTTGTACTTTGATTTATATTAATCGGCGAACAGCGTGTTTTTAATTCTGTAAATTTCAGTTTGCTTTAATTTTTCGCTTAACAGTATTAATACTCAGCTATAAGTCTGCAGCTTATAATGGAGGACTACGAAACGGTGTTATTGGTGAAACCAGAAGTTTTCGTTTTCAAAATACCACCAAGAGCAACAAACCGCGGATACAGGTTGTATAATATTTAAGATGTTCCTTTTGATATTTGCATGGTATTTCGATTGATGCTCTTGAGTGTTTTCTGGTTAATATTTTTTTTAAAATCCTTCTCCGTGATATATAGTGCATACTGAGAATTTGGAGGCGTAACGTATACGTTGCTCTAATTACGATGCAAAAACTTCCTGTCGCAAATAGTTTTCCGTTTATATTTTTTATAAATATGTGGATTGTCTCGTGTAGTATTTTATGTTTTGAATTTGAAATTTTATCCCCAGTAAGATTGTTCCAATTCTAGTTCATTGTCATGAAGTGTTACTCTTTGAGTTCGTAATTTGGAAATGTATTGCAAATGGGTTTCATAATGAAGTTCATTGATTTAAAGACATTTAAATTTTGGGGAAAGTGCAGATTCACCCACTGCTTGGCGCTTTTTTAAAAATTGCACATACTCTATGTACACATCGACTTATTTTTCACCTAAAAACACATCTCAGAATTGCACAAAAATGGCATTGCGCACTCCATTGACTTTATCCATGTACAGATCGACCTATTTTCACTGAAAAAGGTCAAAGAAAATTGACAATAATCCAATTCTTCTTACTCCTGTAAAAAGCGACAAACAAATAAGGGGCGATTCTGCACTTTACCCTAAATTTTTATAATCTGACATTCTAGATGTATTGATTAGTTCTTGATAACAAAATCTTATGCACTGACATTTTAGAAGTTTCGTAATCATAAGTTTGGCAATTTTAGAACCTTAAAAAGAGTAAATAATAATCTGCAATATGTTAGTGTTTATAGCAGATTTATAGAACTGAGTGCAGGCATTTCCTGCATTTTGAAGACAGAAGAAACACTGCAAAAGGTTATGAGATTTCAGATTGCTAAAGGATTGTGGTTTGAATTACAGAAGTTATTTGAAGCATCATCATAAAATGAGTTGTATAATATATGCATGCAGTTTTTTCAACTCGGGTGGAACGGGAGAGTGATAATAATGGAAGCATATTTTGCAAATTACAGAATTTCTGGAATGAATTGAGTTGAGGACTGGGGGGAGGGGAAGAAAAAATGAAAGTAAGTTAACTGGTGCACTACTCAGTTACAAGATTTTAGATGTTTTAACCAAACAATACCATTCCTTTAAATCAAGTTCGTTACTGTTGGGTGAAAACAAGTTAACAGTTGATGTGTTAACAGCAGAGCTTTGCTCTCATGAGGAAGGCAGTACAACTGAATAAGTAGCAGTAATAATGTCGAAAGCTTGAAAAACAAAATCAGTATAAAAAAAGGCAAATTCAGAAGTTAATCTTTGATTATGGTAACTCTGCGATTTTTTGGCGAAACTTTAGCGACCAACCCTGCTACAACAACCTACTAGTTTTGTTTTGGACGCCATTTTGTTTTCACGAAGTAAAGGCATGTTATTTTTTTTTACTCAACATTTTTTCCAACGATCTGCTAGCTGAATTACGCTTATAATAGAACTTGGTTAATCTTTGGATTATGGTAACTTGGCGATTTTTTGGCGAAAATTTGGCGACCAACTCTGCTACAGCAACCCTCTATTTTTTTTTTCCTGCCGCCATTTTGTCTTCATGAAGTAAAGACATGTTTCTTTTCTTTTTATTTACTGAACACTTTTTCCAACAATCTACTAGCCAAATTACACTTATACTAGAAATTTTATCTAACAAAACTGCTTAATCATGACAAATATTCACTGCAAAATTTGGAAAAAGTGCACAATCGCAAACTCCTTGCGCGTTTTTCACAATAACACATACACATAAACCATGTACACGTCGTCTTATTTTTACTTAAAAAAACATCCCAGAATTGCACAAAAATGGCATTGCGCACACTCTTCACGATATCCATGTACACTGCTTTTTTCTCATAAATTAGAAAAATTTCACGAAAATGCATGACAATTTTCTGAATCTTTAAACCCGGTAAAAAGAACATGTATGAAATTACCTTATCACGAAAAAGTATATACCCTTTCCAAATATGAACATTTCCACGTATAAAATAAATAAAATATCTAAAAACTTTTACCTCTAAATTATCTATTACATTATAAACATCACCAACGAATTCATACCGTAAACATTACAAATACTTAGTGTCAGATATTTAAATTATTTCCATGCACGTTTACTTGAACTAAAACGTATACCAAATTCCTACAAACATAAAATTCACAAAATAACTATCATTTAATTAAAATATCACTAAACCATGTACACGTCGATTTATTTTTACTTAAAAAAAATCTCAGAATTGCACAAAAATGGCATTGCACACACTCTTCACTATATCCATGTACACTGCTTTTTTCTCATAAATTAGAAAAATTTCACGGAAATGCATGAAAATACTCAACGTATACTACTCAAACATATTCCAAAATACTACAAACATATAACTCACAAAATCACGATCATTAAATTAAAAAACACTACTTAAAATATAAATAAGCACATACATTAAATTAATAAAAATTAGATTACAATCCTAATTACTTTAAACTAAATCATTGCTAATAACAATTTTCAAATAATACCATTTTAATTTATTTACTCCTTACATTTAGAACAATACATAAAAATAATATCCTCAAATGATTAGAAATACTAACTTACCTAATCTTCTTCAGAATCTTCATTATGTCGCTGCAGTACTACTGCTAATTTCTAAATCCTAAATCCAGTAGTCAACTGGAAGTCTATTCACCAAGTAAATAAGAAATCACCTATACTCAAACTACTTTCAGCAAACCACGTACCCTTCCTTACACTCCTTTTCACAAATGTCCATTTTCACCATATTTCTTGCACCGCCATTTAAACTTGTAATATCCTTCCTTTCACACAATCTCAACTTATTATTATTATCAGATAAACACATTAAAAATTTAGAATTCACTTTACATAGCGCCATGCAATCCGAAAATTAATCATTACTATTTCACACAATGAAGCTTTTCCAAATTAACCCCCTTTTCCGATTAAAGAACTGTAATTCATCCATTAATGTCACGTTTCACACAACACAGAATATAGCTAAATACGAAATTTCCAGATTTCCCCCCTTTTCCGATTAAACAACTGTAATTCGTCCATTAATGTCACATGACATATCTCATGATCTCTCATTTCCCTCACACAAAATAATGCGTAATCGGAACTGAGTGCTTCTCACATTATTACCAAAGTCCTAGGTACCTTTATCGCCTCCAAAATGTCGCCAAACTACCAGTTACCATATTCCAAAGATCAGCCTAGAACTTTTATGGAACAAAAATGCTTAATTATGACAAAGATTAGGTGCGAAATTGGGAGAAATTGCAGAATCGCAACGTTGCTGCGTTTTAATTGCACTACACGTTCATCCATGTACACGTCGACTTATTTTCACTTAAAAAAATTCCCATAATTGCACAAAAATGGCATTGCGCACACTCTTGACTTTATCCATGTACACTGCTAAAGTAGTAACCTTTTATCGACTTACTAAAATGTCGCCAAAGTACCTGTTACCATATTCCAAAGATTAGCCGAAGGGTTGAAGATATTTGCAGCTATTGCAAGGTGAAAGGACACTGGGTAAAAGAGTACAAAAAGTGCTATAATCCTCTCTGTTTATAATCGGAACCCATTAATATGTAAAACATAATTAGCTTTTTTAATCTGTTTGTCAGTGTAGAGATATGTATCCCTTTCTATGTTTTCTATTGTATGTGTAAAACATATATTTTAATTTTCTTGTGCATTTGCAAATGATATCTATTTTAATATTTATGCTGTTTGATGACCAGCATCTGCTCACATTTTTGTGATTTTTGTTTTTTTGACAATGCTAGGACACCGAATCTGTTAAATAAATGGAGTGAATATGTGTCGTATATAAAGATTCAAATATGAAATTTCTCATACTGACATATATTCTAAAAAATATCCTGTCATAGTTTACCTTTAATTATTTTAGATTAATGGCATTCCCAAATTAATTTAGTGTGAACAGTTCTGTATACTTCAGTAGTTGTTTGATAATGTGAAGAACTTTTTCTGTGATGTAGATATTAAGTGTAAACTTAGTTCCTGTGCTCAGTGTAAATATTAACTTGTAATATTTATTTATAATGCTGTAGCTGTTATCAGAGAGAGTGTCTTGATAACATTGGGTTGCTCTAAATGAAATGTAAAAGTATTTCACATTGAATGCGATAAGGGCCTTTTGTGAAAATGTTCTGTGCATTTTGAAATAGACAAAGTTTCCTGAAGCAGCAATGTTCTTTAGTTTATTGATGATAGTATCAAAGATGTTAAAGGCCAAAAAAAAAAAAAAAGTAAACAGGTATATTTACGGGTGCCCCTTGGCGATTTTTGGCGGTACGTAGACACCGAGTTTGTGCAATTCTTCGACTTGTTATTTTGGCTTTGTGTAGCATGGATTTTTGGCCCTAAAATCGACGTTACACAAAGCCAAAATAATAAGAATTGCACAAACTCAGTATCCATGCCCACATCGACCTATTTTCTTTTTTAAAAAAATCGGAGAATTGCACAAACTTGGCATTGCGCACTCCCTCGTCTTTGTCCATGTATACATCGATGTATTTTCACTTAAAAAGTCAAAAGGGGAGCAGCCAGTTCTAAACTAGAGCCAAATAAAAAATATATAATCTCAGTAAACTACATTTTAAATCAAACAATGAAATAACATGGAAAAGAAAATTCATCTTAGCACTGCACAAAGAAAATATCCACTTACCTTATTTAGAAATTTCTGTGTTTTCAGTCAAACAAAATTCCTTAACAGCATCCAAAAACTTCCTAAAATTATCTGAACTAGTATCTGTATACTGGTGTCAAAAATTTGTGGTGTAAATTCACAAAAATAAGAGCCAAAGATATCTTCCAACATTCAAAAATGCGCATTTCGTTTGTACAACAGGACACTTATAATGGCTGCTAAGTAAACCTTCATTTACACACCAGTCGATTAATGCTTTTTTCCCTTTCATTCCAAATCGTACAGAATTCAAATTAATCTTACCACATTCAGCCATTTTACCATGTAGACCACAAAATGGCCAACGTACTTCCTAACCAATATCCAACACACAAGCCCTTACAAATCTTTTCCCATCATTTAAATTCACCGCAATCATGTAACCAATTTCATCATAATAGGGTTTCTATAACATTCAATGACTCAGGTTACCGTAAATAAAATAACAACTTATCAATAACCCAAGGACCACCCTTAAATATACTCTAACCAAAATGTTTCTTTTCTCTTTTTTCTAAAAGAAAAAAAAAGAGAAAAAAAGCATTTTTTTAACTTTTGTGGTAATATAGGCAAGGTAGACTTTTAAATTTCTGCTTCTTTCTGTTCAAATATTTTGCATGCACATAAAATATAAACATTGATTAATTATAATTCTTTTATGCAGAGCGGCTGATTGGAAATTAGATGCTCCTGATTGGACTGGTAGACTACGTATTGTTTCTAAAGGAAAGCGTTGTTTTATTAAACTAGAGGACAAAAACTCAGGTATGTATTTTATTCTGCAGGACAGGAGACACTGCTTAATGTGATCATAGTTAATTTACAAATATCAAATTATTGAAGTCCTGCCTGTTTGCATACAAAATTATGGAAAATATTCAACTTATTGTGATCAATAATTCAGTTAATAAGATCAAAATATTATAGAGTGAATTCTTTAAACTGAAGTAAAGTTGCTAAATAAGATCAAAATTGATAAAAAATTACCAAGCGATAGAGAAACATTTCCAGGAAATTATAAGTCAGTTACAATTATGAGCTTGGTTACGATTTTAGTCAATCATTTTAAATTAGGCCAAAAAATATATCTATAATTTATGTAGATTTTAAATAATTCTAACTTTTTAGAGCACTCACAGACATGTCACCTTTTTCTTCAAGAGGAAAAAAAAATTCTGCAATAATTATTTTTCTTGAAATAACTTTTTGAAAACATCAGTGCCAAATTAAGCTCGCTTTTTTGCCTAATTTAGAATTTTACACTGGCTAGTTCTTTTCCAATGAGGGATGCCCTTTAATAAGATTGGGATTAGAATAATACATGGGGCAAATAATTTTTCCAGAATGTATGAAGAGTTTATAAATGAATTTTTGCTATAAAGACATGAACAGTTCATGAATAAACTTTTGCATTTTCCTGATTAAAATGTTGTGAAAGATCTTATTTTTATATTTGTAATTATATTTACAGGGTGTCCCAGAAGTCTAAATATTTTTTTAATTGAAGAAATTGGTAGAATTGAACACGGTTTACGAAAAAGTTATTCTCTTGAAGGTAAATTTTGGAGGGAGGGTAAAGAAAAAAATAGGTAAAATTTTCGTCGATAGAGGGCCCTATACGAGAGCAAACATGTTAAAAAAAATATATTTATTTGCATGCAGGCAAATGCTTATAAGCATATCAGTCATATTCTATGTGTCTGCCATCACCACAAACTACAGTTTGCAAGTGAGTTACAACACCATTATCTGCAGCGTGTAGCATATCCAAATGGATGCAAGAGATTTGATGATGAATGGCGTCCTTTAACTGCACCAAAGAAACTAAGTTATTGCAGTACACTCTGAACTTGACATAACCCAAAAATCAAGTAGTATTAAGTCCGGCTAGCGAGGATGGTGATTCATTTCTACAGTGACAGCTAATTAATCAGTCTTCATTGAAAGTCCTTCTTAGGAATTGAATTGACATTGAAAGTCCTTAGGGATGAAGTGTTCGAGTAAGTGCGATATCACTTTCACCGGCAGCAATTGAAAGTAGCGTTTTCTACTTATTGAGAATGTCTTCCAATCAGTTTTTGCACAGCACTTTTCAAAGAAAAAAGGGCCCACTATAATGGACACATAAAACCTCACCAAATAGTTAAATGCAGTGAATGCTCGGGCTCCTCAATAGGCACATGGGTTCTCCTTTGCCCATATTCTATAGTTATGGGTGTTGACTGTTCCATGCAATGAAGAATTAACCTCATCTGTCCACGGAATTTTTGAGAAACCATTGTGGATCATTATTGATTTCTGACAAAGCCCAATTTACGAATTCATATTGCGTATATTTGTAGCTTAGCTAGATATTTCTTATTACTGCATCTGTGTGGCACCCTCAAATGATGAAAATTTTAATGATTTTTTCCCTTACCCCCCCCCAAAAAAAAAAAAACTCCCTTCAAGAGAACAATTTTTTCGCTAACCGCGTTAAAGTCTACCAGTTCCTTCAATTTTAAAAATATTTAGACTTATGGGACACTGTATATTAAATTGCATGTATTGTGTTGACATTTTAAAGGATATTTTTCTCATCATTTAATTTATCAAAATAGCCATGGACAAGTGTAATCACGTTAAGTGGTGCTGACTGTAAATTATTTGCACTGCAAGGTACGTCTTTGGTAAGGGTATTGAATCTTAATGTTATATTAAAAAACAGGGCAGATTAAATATGTGTATGGGAAGATTCTGCCATTTGCTTTACTTTTTCTTTTTAAATGTGATATTGATGAATTAGGTTTCTCTTGGCAACATTTAGAAATTTTCACTGAGTTCAGAAGCAGTTTTTCAAGATTGCGATTCTCCAACTGTTTCATGAAAGAGCAATAGATCAATGGAATTTCAGAATAAAGTCATAGCAATTGAGAATGAGAAGTATGAATTAAAACTTTAATTTGTTTCCCAGTTATGGTTTGTAAAAGCATTGATGCACAATCAAAATGCAAGGTAAGTTACCTGTATTGCTTCTGTTCAGGAAAAATATATTTCAGGGTCTCCCTTGGTGAAAATTGACAATTTTTTTCGGCACCATTTCTGTTTATGTGCTTGCCCTCGCAAATAAAATGACATTCAAAACAATGCAATAAACATTATTAAAGCATAAAAAATTATAATCTCTATAAAGTCCATTTTAAATCAAAATGAAGCAACAAAATAATATAGAAATGGAAATCCATGTTATTTAATCTATGCAGTACAAAAAAGAGATGTCAACTTACCTTATTTAGAAATTTCCTTGTCTTCGGTATGTGGCACACAGAATTCCTTAACAGCATCGAAATCTGTTTAAAAATATCTGAACTAGAATCTGTATGCTGCTGTCATCACATAAATTCACAAAAGTCAGAATCAAAAATATACTCCATAGTGACAGATTGTGGGTGGCATTTGTCTTGAAAATCCCTTTTTATTACACTTCACATACCTTTGATAATGTTCATGTGAGCTCCAGTTTCTGGTTCCTTAAATGTCACTGCGTGATTTACTGAGAGATAAACCAAGCTATTATCAGATCGACTTTAAGCAATCAGATATGATCATTGTTCCAGGTAAGATATTCCGAAGAATTACATCCAACCAACTTTTTCTTCTGTCCTCAACCACTGCAAAAAAAAAAAAAAAAAAAAAAAAAAAAAAAAAACCTTCCATACCACTGAACACCCAGTTTCCTTTCACTCATTTACCTCTTATATTTTACTAAATTTACTCTCGTCTGTTTCAACAATTACACTGGAACCCCCAGTCATCGTACTTTTATGAATACATATATCAATGCACACATTACTACAAAAGTTCTTCCAATTAGTTATGGTCTTATAACCAGTTAATATTTAATTCACTCTTATGGCTTTGTACACCCACATCCACATAAAATCCAAATCTCAATAATACTCAAATGATTGTTTTCAAACCATGATCCCTTTCTAGGAGTACTTTATGAAGTGAGCATTTGAACCTTTCTCACGACAGACTCCATTGAAAGCTGTCTGAGTGATCTTAACATTCGACGGTACGCATTTTCTTTGTACAAACAAGACATTAATACTGACTACTGATTAAACCTTCTTTTGCACACCAGTCAATCAATGCTTTTTTTGCCATTCATTCCAAATCATACAGAAACTTCAGGTTAATCTTACCACTGTTAGCCATTTTATGGTGTAAAGCTCAAAGTAAGCAACTCCTCCTAACTCATATCCAATGCAGAAATATTCTCTCAACAATCAAAATCAGTATCATCACGTATTACAACCAATCACGTCATCATAGAGTTTCCAAAACATACATCCTAAAATACTCAGGTTACCATAAATGAAACAACAACTTGTTCATAATCCAAGGGGTACCCCAAATTATAGACTACTCCTTCTGTTCTTCCTGTGCCCTATAAACTTCGCACATTTACGTACCTAGATTGCCAAATAAATGCATTTTGCTGACTCCATGGATTCCTTATTTAAGCTGCTTAGTGCATTGCCTTGTGAATAGTTTTCAGAGGTGTATGGATAAAATTCTAGTAGAGAAAATTCCTCAATTAATGTTAATTCAATTACAGTCTGAGGGTTTCCTACCACTCAAGAGGACTTTCAGTTTGCTGTGTATTTTGAGTGCCATGCTGCCTTGCAATACCTAATACACTTTATAAACATCTGTCCCTTCTTAGGGATTCAAACCTGGGCCCACCGGTTTGGCAGTCAACATTACTAACCTGTATACTGCCTGCATTGCAACATAGTAGGTGGAAGAATTCTAAATGATGAATGATCTAAAATCCGGACCTCATAGGCCACTACCAATTTTTTTATTTTATTTGTTTGCTGTACGCATGTGCATTTGACCCCCCCCCCCCGGTGCATAATAAAACATGTGGAGAGTCGTGATTCTTAATTTCACTTCGGCACTGAATAAAATATCTTGTTATTGAAGAAACAATCATTTTAGAATGAATTTGTATGATCAATAATTTGGCTCCATAGCTGCCGGTCATACATCTCAAACCGAAACATTCTACATTTACATTGTTGATTTTATGCCTATTAATATTTTATACCCCTGATGAAAAACTGAATCATTATTTATTATATTTTGATTTCATAACTTGAGTAGTGACTCGTGGAGCAATACCTAAGCAATTTTTTTTTATATTAATAATTGAGAAACAGCATGGTAACCTTTTATGTTGACATTACACTTGGCGATGATTACAGATTTAAGTTGAATGCGCTAAGAAATGTTGGCAGGAAAAATTTAACAAAAATTTCATTCTATATGCTAAAAGTAGATTTTGTGGCTAATCTTTGGAATAAAGTAACTTGGCGATTTTTTGGCGAAACTTTGGCGACCAACCCTGCAACAGCAACCTGCTAGTTTTTTTTTTTTTTTTTGGACGCCATTTTGTTTTCACGAAGTAAAGACTTTTTTTTTTTACTCAACATTTTTTCCAACAATCTGCTAGCCGAATTACGCTTATGCTAGAACTTTTATGGAACAAAAGTACTTAATCATAACGAAGATTAGGTGCGAAATTGGGAGAAAGTGTAGAATTGCCCACTGCTTGCGCGTTTTTAAGAATTGCATATACACGATGTCCATGTACATGTCGACCTATTTTCACTTAAAAAAAATCCCAGAATTGCACAAAAATGGCATTGTGCACACTCTTGACTTTATCCATGTACGCATTGACCTATTTTCACTTCAAAAGTCAAAGTTTTTTG